TTAATAGAACCAATACTTTCTCCTATTCTGCAAATAAAGCACTCAAACATAACTTTTTAATTTATACTTTAATGGCTATGGTGATGTGCTATGCTATTAAAATGGAAGAAAATATACTCGAATTGAATAATACTTAGTCATTTAGGTAACTTGAGATAATTTAAAGACTGGTATTTTAGTTTTTTAACAATGAGATAAGTGGGTATCACAATGTCATTTAATTTTGATTATCTGTGTCTACTAGAACGCTGTTTCATTCCGACGGGACTGGACTCAATTATCGACTTAACTTAAGTTTCCTCAGCACCCCAAACTGGATTCAATACAGGATCGTGGGTATACTGGCGACGTTACCACTCCACTTTACTCCAGGTGGGGAGTTACAGGACAGATGTGACACTTAAAGCAAACCTAACCTCTCTTAACTCACATATATTGTAGAATTATTGTTTAAGCAAGCACATGTTTGCCATAGACATCGGTGGCGATTCTTATTTTCGATGTAAATCGTTTTTTGTAACTATCAGTAATTCTTAATTAAGAACTAGTATTCGTGGCCATATAGTTAGGTGGAGTGGTAACTTCGTCACGATGGTCTTGATTTGGTACGAAATGATGTTTAGTGTGCTGCGGAGAACTAGGCAAGTTGTAAACTGCATTACATTCTGTATGTGATCGATTTTTTTGGAGGCGGAGATAAGTGAAATTTCATGTTATCGTGAGGCCTAATCAGCTTAAAGCCAAGAAAACTTTACTATGAGTCCTCAAATCAGCTTGAAATCATTAATGGCCTCAATAAACTACTAGAAGGATACTACTAGGAGGTCAACCGAGTCAAAACTAAAATAAAGTTAATGTAGCAAAACCAGACTCATCTTCTCAGTTCGTATAATGGCAGAAATGATTTTTAGACCAAGGGAACTCTTTTTATGTTTAACAGACACTCTTGTAGCTGATTTCCTTCTGCGAATTCAGATGAAATTACGTTAACTCAGATCATACGTCGGCCAGCCCAGTTAAAGCATGTATCTTGCGCACTTTGACAACAGAAATATTGACAATGGTGATCGGTAATCGGCGAGAAATCGGTTAGAGACGCTGCTCCTGGTCATGCATTCAGCAGATTGTCTCGTCGAGGTCTGCATTTTTCGGCCACTATCTCCAGGCTTCTCTAGACAGCTCAGACATAGTTATTTCAAGGTATGCCTGATGGAACTTCTTGAGGTGTTTTAATATACCGGCTTCAAAAGCGTGCTAAGAAAAAGTGAGTTCGACTTTGTGGGCTACAGTTTCAGACCGATGTTAAGTAATGTTAATGGCCAAGCTACGACGGCTTGACTGCATTAGTCGAGGCGACCCTAACAGACTGACTAATGTCTGCTTTAAGATGTCTGGAGTACTCGAGACTTCTGTCTCTGTCAAGTCTGCGATGGAAGGGCTTTATACACGCTAAATTCAAGCGATTAGGGATGAATTTGCCCCAGCGTTACTTTGACCAATAATCGTTCTCCTGGCTAGAGGATATTGGGAGTTCCGAGACTACTAGTAAATCAGTAATATGAGATGTATTCACCCTATTTCGTTTAAGGTTATGAAGGACTGGTAGTAGAACAACTTTTGGGAAAGCAAGGCAATGTGACCAATGGAAACGTCAGCTCAACTCATATGATTGTGGGAAAATTCTTCTTCTACCAGTCCTTCATCACCTTAAAATAAATTGGGTGAATACATGTCATAAAACGATAGAAGATAACGTGTTAAGATATTAATAGTGAAAAGTTAGATTGAAATTTACCTAGCATGTCAACTTACCAGTTTATCCGAGTTGTTATGACTAAAGCTGAGTTCGGTATGCCAATACTCTTGGCCGCTTTCACCAAAGTCACTTTCCTCCGACTCTGCCGACTCAAACTTCCAAAAGGTAGACCAATTTCTGGATACTTGAGCCAGAATGAGGAAGTCAAATTGGTTGATACTGCAATTGAGCTCAAAGTAATCGCCGATTTGCACCTTCTTAGACAAGAAAAAATGTAAACATGTTTTACCCACTTGAATGATGCTATTTCAGTCATTTGTTTAGTGACTTAATGCCCGAACATAAAACCTTCTAGAAGTGGGTTGACCTCGTTGTCGCAACTTGGTCTTGTGTTCAGGGAGACTATGTAGAACGCACTGGTTCAAGCATTAGATTATTTAATTTGGCAATGTATAATACATATTTTACCTTCAATGGTAAATTGTATGAGCACACACAGGGCTAGGCCATAGGATCTTGTTTAACCCCTATTTTATCTAATAATTACATTACCTAATTATAAATTCGTGTATTTCAAGAGATACTCCTAGTTCCAAAAGTTATTAGTTCGCTGTTACTTTGCTGTTTGGCAACACAGCAAAAATAGTTTGGGGGAATTCCTTGAGTAATAAATAGAATAGATACCAACACTAGGAATACCATGTAGTTAGAAAGGGGAAATAAATTGCATTTTTTGGATGTATTAGTGAGCAAAGAAGGTGATAAGTTAGGTAGAGATGTATATAGGAAACCCACACATGCGGGTTTCCTTATTAATTTTTTCTCGAACCATGCATAAAGTAAAAATAAGAGTTATTAAGTCTATGATAATAAGGAGTATATATCTAGCAGATGCAAACTATAGGGACCAGGAGGTATATACTGTTACAAAACAATTACCCATTAGGATTAGTAGACAATTACATAGCAATTGTAGCTAACAAGATTAAGGGAGTTTGTAGTCAGGCGCGGGATAGAAACTTGACAATTCTACTTGGTTCCTGATTTTGCCTTCCTGTCAGCTTGCGAAAAAGTTAGGTTAACCACTGAAGAAATGGAACATAAAAACAATGTATAAGGAGAAATTAACACTTTCTTTAGTAGTTCCTTCGTTGAGAAAATATTCAGACCCTTTTTTCTAGATCAGTCTGTTACAAGGTTTTGTGCTCATGTGGTAAGGTCTATATGGGGGAAACATGCCGGCCCATTCACAAGAGACTATGTGGACACAAAACCGCTTGTAGAGGTCTGTGAGTCTAAAAATCTGAGCTCGCTGAACATGTTTTGCTAATACAGGACAATCAATAGATTGGTCCAAAACGCAACGTTTTGCGGGTTACAGGGACTTGACTTCAAAGTGTAAGATTAGGGAGTCTATAAAAAATAACAAAACAGCCAACGTCCTGACTAGGAGGAACGAGTGTAGAAAACTAAGTAGGAATTTTTGTGGCTGTCGGATATGCTTAAGGAGAGGGAGAGAGAGGGTGTGCAGGCATAGTAAGTGAGCCAGAGGAGGCTAGGACTATCATACTTCCCATGACATGAGCATTACATACACACAATAGACAATAACACAAGCCCAAACATGATTCAGCATTAGGCGATCGTGCGCTAGTTTTTGTGTGATCAAGCAGCTACCACCGAACGCACTTCCGGTTATGGAAGTTAACTTCATCCATTTGCAAACATGTAGAGGAAGGTTGAAGTAACCAACCAAATGAAGGGAGACCTCATTAAGATCGCGATGTTGGCTGCATAACCAAGCGACTAGGGTTGCAGCCGACCACATTTTATCTTGGCTTGGTATATTTTTGCTCTATTTCGTAAAGTAGGGAGTCTTGCTCTAATTAAATCTGTCACGAAGAGGACAGACGAATACTTGGCACGGTGAGCCGTGGACTTCCTTACACAATTCAACAGTCTTCCTTACGCGACAATCCTCCTTCGGTTTCCGTTGAGACCATATCATGAATTCCTTCCAACCAAATTTCCCTTCGAAATGGAGATTCATGCCACAAAATCTCTCATAGAATTGAGAGATTTTTCCCTTATTGTTTATGGCCCAAATTTTGGAAATCAATTACCATGCAAATACAATGCTGGATTGGTTAATACAAGATGCTGATACGAATTAATTAAATATGCCTAGAAAAGACACTTAATGCTTAAGTTAATTATTTAAACAGTAATTATGATTTAAATAGGCCAATCTAGTTGAAAACGCCCTTACTAGCATTCTCCTACCGGCAAAACTGATACATAACCGGGATTCCCACATTCCTGGGCAAAGACGGTTTGCCTACTCTCACCCTCTCCAATACCATCCACCAATTTCGAAACATTATCATATCTAAAACTTGCGCATGGTTGTTATAGCTACATCAGTCGAGGTGGGAGAGAGCCTGATACCCGTTCTGGATAAAATGGTTTAGATTGACTGCTGAAATAGAGGGAAAATAAACCAAGAAGAGTACCAAGCCACTCGAAGAAATACTCCGCCGGACTCATACCGACCAAGCATCCAGAATAGTTAGCTGGTATTTTCCCTTACTGCAATAGAGGTCCTAAACAAATCTCTGCTTTCAGAGAGCGCATATTCTTGGCTTGGTTCTGCTCTATGACAGATGGTGATGCAGACTCTTGACCGCTGATATATATTTTTATTTTGATTAATATAATTATAATTAAATAAACGGCTCTCTTATGTTTGTGAGAAGGCTCTTGATAAGTAATTCAACCCTACATCCTCTATCGTTTTTCGATGCTTATCAGACGAAATTATTTAACGTATTCTCAATGCATCAATATTAAATTGGCTAGGGCTTATCTTATTCCGCATTTTCATACCTGTCCTATTTTTTCGAAAAAGTTTACTTCTTTTCTCAAACCTAATTAGTAATTTTTTGGCTTATTATCACTTGACCTTATTTATTTTCCTAGCTTTGCGTTTTAGTGGAGAGCAGGTTTATTATACCCAATACTTGTTACTGTTTACGAGCGCTTAACCCATTAATCGAGTACTATCTTCTTAAGCAACCTTTTACTATTTAGTCTTATAATATTGTCAACACATATATACTCAATCTTGCAATAATTTAGTTTAAATGTTAGGCCTTATTTCTCTCAAAATAACGCTACTGTAAGAAGCGTTCAATTTTTTCCTTGAGTATCACCGTTGTCTTACAAATTGATTAAAATTAGCCAATTATCCATTCTCTTCGTGTTTTTTGCATAGCATACTCTTACCCTAATGGGAATTTCGATCAAGCCATCATATGCTTAATTGCACTCTAGTTTCTCGAGTTCCACATCTCAACCCTTATTCTTCGAGTGGTAGCTTCTCATTATCGGGGAATTCAGAATATTCGTCTTTATTTTTTGCAACAGATTATTTCTATTTTTCGAACAACGCGCATATGTCTTTCTCTTATGCATATTCATTGGTCGCTAACTTATCTGTTAATGAAAGATAGTAATAATTTTTCTAGCCCTATAATGGACTTAATCTCATCATCAATTTCCTTACTGGGCGTTATTCAC